TTTGTTCATTTCCTCACAATATCATTACGAGTTTCTTGGCCGTCATCTCAAGATTCTACTTTTCAATTCTTTCACTCGTTTCCAAGAGTTTCCACTCTCTCCTCTCTACCTTAGGGCTCTACAAGCCTCAATCTCGCCCCGAAGCCACCAAACGATTCATCTACATATGCCTATGGTTTCCCACCTATAAATCTCCAAGCTGGTTTAGCCTTTTGATGAATCCTAACCAAGCCCTAACCGGTTACAAGATTAAGGAGAAGGCAAGAGAGAATCTTTTGGTACCCCTACCATGCTCACAATCTTTTCCAATATCAAAAGCAACCGTAGCCGTTGGTTCAGAGATCTACGTTTTAGGTGGAGCCACCGATGAGGTGCCATCTTCCGCGGTTTGGGTCCTTGATTGTCATACTCACACTTGGCGCGTTGGTCCTAGCATGAAGACTGCTCGTAAAGACCCTGTTGTTGGGGTTCTCAATGGGAAAATATATGTATTAGGAGGAGAGTTCAACGTAGACAAATCTATAAATTGGGCTGAGGTATTTGACACAAAGACTCAAACTTGGGAAACTTTACCAAGCTCTCCTGGTGTGGTACGTCGCGCTTTAATTAGAAGAATGGTGGCATTTGAAGGTAAGTTTTACGTTTACGTGAACAGAGGTGTGAGTTATGTGTATGTTTATGATCCGGAAGAAGGTACATGGAAATGTTTTGGAGGCGAACGTAATCATTGGATGATAGATAATAAGGATTGTTATGTGGTAAAGAATGTGGTGTATCGTTATGGTTCCTTTGGGTTTGATTGGTATGACATGGAGAGTAGGAAGTGGAGAAACGTCAAAGGTTTGGAGGGGCTACAAAGTAAGTTTCATAGTAGTGGTGGTTTGAGAGTTAGAGCTATGTTTGAAGCTAACTATGGTGGAAAACTTGTGATTTTTTGGGACGGTGTTGGGATTCCAAAGCCTAGTCGAACTCGGAATAGGAATATTTGGTGTGCGGAGATTGCGCTTGAAAGACGTCATGAAGATGAGATTTGGGGAACGCTTGAATCGGTTGATGTTGTTCTTACGGTTCCCAATTCATATAATTTCATGCGTTGTCTAGCCATATCGGTTTGATAACTTGGATACTTCATTTATCGAAACAGGCTTTTATAAATTATCTGGGGGTTTTTGTTTGATTCAAGTATGTTATGTCCTTTACCTATTTACATTCTAGTTTTTATCTCTTTTAACTTAAAAAAAATGTTTCAATTGTATGTGGATTATGTTCTAGTTGATTCATTTTGTCAATGAAAAAAGAAAAAATTTTAGATTTTTGTTTTCTAACTTTTTTGCTTCCATTACATTGACAAATATATTACCGATTATCTCTTCTTAGTCCACATGTCTAATTAATTTGATTTTTAAAATTTGCTTAACGATTATCGATAAAAAAAAATTACATTGCGTAACTTTTTTTGGTTTTATGGTTCTTTCTAAATAACAATGTTTATGTAATCCTTTGTATCGCTATTATTGGAACGCTATCTTACCGAGTTCGAATTGAATTCTTGGTTTTATGGTTCTTTCTAAATAATAATGTTTATGRAATCCTTTGTATCGCTATTGGAACGCTAACTTACCGAGTTCGAATTGAATTTTTCTTTTTAAGGGGTCTATATTTAATTAAGAAAGGCAAAGCCAAAGGTCTATGAATTTCTCTCACTGTTGAAAACCAACTCATAACGTCTAGTTATGTTTATAGAATTATAATATTTTTCATATTCTATATACAGTAATTTAGTAATGGCATTTTTACTTTTCTTGGGTTTTTGTTTGCTAGCGTCACTAAACACTAACTGTAGCTGTTTATAATTTGTGAACAATTTAATAAATTTGGTAATTAATGGATTTTTATCTATATATTACTC